ATCCGGATAAGAGGAAAAAGTTGTGAAAGGCCAAGCATAAGGATATTGATACTGAAACTGCGAGGAAATAGTGTAGCACCAGGGTGCCTGGGTTAATGTGAACCCTACCCCTTGTATAACAAGTAAGTTGTTTCGAATAATGTCAAAGAAATAACTAAACAGAAAAACTACGAACTTAGGCTGGAACTCACTTTTTCAAGAAAGTTGGCGCTCTGAAAAAACCTGAAAATTTCTAACAGAGTTTTGAATAATTCCTGAAATTTAGAACCAAAGATCCATGAGATTATCTCCTCTAAAGCACTAATGGTGGCACTGGGCTTCCCCTTTATCACTGTAGCACGGTCTTCCTTAATTCTGCACCAGCTGATCATCCTCCTTGACGAGCTCTGGAAAATTAGCAATAGATTGCTTAGGAACCAAGGGTCACTGCGCCTTCTGCCTCCTCTGTTCGTATCTTGCTTTGTAAACTGCACAACCACGAAAGCTACTGACATGTTCCCCACTGCAAAAAATTCAGCGGGGCTTGTCCTCTGGTTTCTTTGGACATACATTACTGCGATGCTGGCCAACACACTTGACACAACTTTCCGAGTTATTACACAGGTGTTGAGAGTGTCCATACACCTGGCAACGAAAACATTGCATTTGTTGTTTCTTGAGTCCACGCGTACTTCAAAATTAAACATATCATTCAGGTAAAATATCTTGTTACCTTCTGCGTTTCTCTTCAGTTCTAGAAAGAAAATGAGCAGCTTCTCCTGCATCCCACTTCTGGATCTAACAAACTGTTTCACCTTAACAACAGGAAATTTCCTGCACACAAGATCACTGAGGATTGTTCTTCACATGGACATGAATGCTCCTGTTCTTTACACTGGAATCGTATGCCTATGAACAGCATTTCTGCAGTAGCTTGTCTGCTTTCAGCCAATCAGTCACTTTGCTTGGGAAGACAAGGGGAGAGGGTGTTTCTACTGCACTTGCTCCACCTACGTCTCTTTCAGGATCTCCTCCTACTAACGTGTCGAATCTGCTTGCCTGCGTTACTTCCATAGATTCAGGAATTTCTGGATGCTTAGCAGGATTCCGGGGCTGCTTGCATTCATTGTCAGAGTCATCAGCTTTATTTGTAGGTTCTCCATCAGGCTTCAGCTTTTTCCTCTCTTGTTCACCACCGTTCTGGAGAAGCTCTACAGCTCGCAGGTCAGTCTGATTCTGCTTCAAATTTTCTCCATAAATTTCTTCGTACTTTGCGGATCCATTCTAGATAACAGGATTTGCAGATTTTCTTTGGAAATCAGTGGACGAGTAGAGGTAGCAGGTCCTTTTTTTGGCGGTACAAGTTCCAGAGCATGCTTAGCCTTTTTTCATCGCAGGCTCCATAAGTAGGAAATCTTTTTGAAATGGGAGCACTTGCGATTTCATTGAGATAGAAGAATTAAGTGAGTCCTTCTCACTCATCTCGTCCTCACTAATATCAGTCGATGTCCTATAAAAGGACATTTTTAATGCACCTGAGGGCACAGCAGCAATGAAAAAATATTTCAGTAACGTACAAAACTGTACTAGCAAAGAGAAATAACTAAGCAATGCTGACCGCCTACTTGAAAGGAGAAAAATCAAATTTCAGAGCATATTCAAAAAATGTACTACACGTTCAGCGCCTCTGAATCAACTCCTCCATCCATAACACCTTATCTCCATCTCCTCCATCAATCACAGACGGCAATGTTGTTACATACGAAGCTCTAAGTGGTGATGACACTGTGACAGAAACTAAAATGAAATATGCTGACATCAGAGGTTTTTCTTCAGATGCTGAAGAAATGCAGTACATGAAAGTGAATAATCTACCACATCAGACACCTAAGTTGTGATGTGTGACATTAATTTCACATAAATTGCATAATCAAAAGAGATGAAATTTTTTCAATTCTGACACAAAAGTATGGATAAAATGTTCTTGCTATTTGCATTATGCCAACAGAAGATTATATATTATTTTTGTACTAAGAAGTTAAGTAAAAGTCATAAGTAAACTTATTAATACTTTTTGTTATCGTATTTTTATGAATAAATAATTACCGTATTTGACGGCATATAAGATGCACTTTTTTCCTAAATTTGGTCTCAAAAAAGTTACCTGCGTCTTATACCTGAAGGTACTTGCATTCAATAATTGTTTATTTGGCTTTTACGAAATGTGAGAACTAAAAGAAACCATGCTATTGAAATTTTTTTTCCTTGTGTGCGGCTGTCTAAATAAAGGTGCATCTTATATGCTGTCAAATACGGTATTCATAATTTATAAATGTGTAATGAGTTAAAAATCTCAATATTTATGTAAGTAATTTGTCATGTAAAGCTAATAACATAAAGTGAAAGTAAAAAAAGAGAGAACAAATTTAATAACTGCAGATTATAATAATTGCAATTAAACTTTAACATAGTTTTTTAATCAGTTTGTCATGTATCTGGCTGTAGTCAGCCAATCAGCTGCCTCCCTCGCGGTAAGAATCAAGTGAGACAGACGAAAGTTGTCTGCAGAAAGTGAGGTAGGACGTTTACGCCGAAGTTGAAATTTCAAGTTTAGCCAGCGGGGCTGATTTAATTTGTAAGGTATTAAACACCTGTGTTTCATTAGAGTTACTTCCTTAAATCATATAATACCAACATCATGTAAATATTTGTACATAAAAGTTGTATTTCTATACAATAAAGGGTTAAATTTCCAATAATGTAATGTGTCACTGAACATTGAAACTTGGTTTTGCTGTAGTGGTTTTATTTGTTGGTTGGTTTGGTGGGTGTGTTGAAATGGCTTATGGCTGTCAGCGAAGTTTATGATTTGGATTGTGGTTTTCGTGTAGTAAATTAACTTTGGAGGAAGTTTATATCGTTACTTTCAAAATTTTTAATCACAGAAAAACGTGTGATATAGAAAAATTGTGGCATTTTTGTTCACAGATATTGTGCGACTGGCAAATTTTATTCACAAATGTATGCTGGACTTTGTATGTTCTGTGTCTCAGAAGATTGGGGGGGGGGAGAGAATAAAGTGGTTGAAATTGATGAGTTTTGCTGATGTTTGAAACTGATATTTCTGCTGTTTGATGAAGCATTCACAATGGTAGTTGCATTTTATTTTATTGTTGTTCTTATTTTGTAAAATGTTATGTTCTTTTTTTTTTTCCTATGAGTTTCTGTCATTATTGTTTTTTTTTTTTTTTTTTTTGAATAGTTTGTAATTTATTTTAGTTATTTGTTATTTAAATTTATTTTGTCGATCCGTGTGCAATGCCTAGATTGTGCAATTCGCCAATTTTTTTTTAAAAGTTAAAATAGAATGCTGTGTACATGGTATTGTTTGAAATTTATTGTTATGTTAGTTTATTTTAGCCAGGTGTGCATAATTCCTAGATTCCTATGCTGCATAGATTGAAACTTATTGCTGATATGTTAGCTTATTTTAGCGAGGTGTGGGTAATTCCTAGATTCCTACGCTGCATAGATTGTGCAATTATCTGATATTTTTTTAAAGTAAAAACAGATCACTGTGTACATGGACTCTTGTAAAATATTTTTGATTAGAAACTTTATGTTTTTGCTATCTAAATTATTTTCTTTTTTTTGTATCGGATTTTTGGCATAAATTATGTGTTAAAAATGTGGTTTTTGCATGTGTGAAAACCACATTTTTTCAAACATTTTAGGCTTAAAGTTTGATATGTTGAAAAAAAAATTTAGACAGTAATATCACCGTGGAGTTTCTCACCAAAGATGTTTGGCAAGAAATTTGTCACCAACCAAGAGTATATATAAGAGTAGTTCCTAAATTAAATATGATGCAGACACTAATTAGTTACAAGAATGTGTACTGAGGAATGGGCAGTCAATCCACTTTGATTAGGTTTCTTGCTTGTGCCTCACCAGCTATTTCAACTCTATTTCATTCTCAGAAGGAAAAAATACAAAGAACTTATTTTTGACACCATGGCAAAGTCCAAAATATTAGATTGGATTCCATTTCGTATCTTACTAAGGATAGTTGATTTGAAACTGCAATACTTTGCATAACCCAGCAGCAAAGTAAGGCAGGTAGCATTGACAAAATTACAAAAATGTAGTACAGCAACAAAATTTAAATAATATATTATATACAAAGTGCATCTACAAAGTTTAGAGGCTAATTTTCTTTTTAATAAATTCTAAATTCCAGTAAACTTGCCAAAGGATAATTGATAGTATTTATAATCATCACATAACTTTTTTTTAATATTGCCTACTTAGAAATATAATTTTTTATTCTTTGTTAGCTTTCATCCTTTCAAAACTTGTTGTCACTGATTTGAAAGTTGAGCAAAGAAAAGCTATAGTGTTGCTCTAAAGTGGAAAAAAATAGAAATGGAGACTTTTGAAATGTTGTGCAAAACACACAGGGATGAAGCACTGAATGAGGTAATGCTTTTCATTGACATAAATAAATTTCTTGATGAACATGAAGATTCTAATGATGAACCTAAGAATGGCCTCTACTGAGGGTAGATGACGAACCCTTAGTAGTCATGAATGGATAAGAACACTGAAAAAAGTTCAATAGCTCCTGAAAAGGCATCAGCTGTCTTTTCAAATGATGGTAGTGAGCTTAACATTAGTATATATATCAGCTGTCTTTTCAAATGATGGTAGTGAGCTTAATATTATTGTCATTCCAGATTGTCAAGGAAGATCCTTGAAAAAATAAAATATTGCTTTCATTTTGTTCCTCACACAACAACTGAGTGAACAGAAGATTAAATTTCTGCATGTCATGCTTTGGGCTAAGTAAGTGCGGAATAGACTAACAAGGACTCTATTCAAGCTAAGAAGTTAGTACTAAAAGTACTAAAAGTTCAATTCTGTATGAACTTAATTCTAAAACTATACTAATATAGATGTGTATGTACATTTTCTCATAAACACACATGTTAAATCAATAAACACGAGGAATTAAATATTACCTTTCTTTGCAGCTCGCATAGCCATAATTGCATCCACATTAAACTCTAATTCATATTCAGAAACAGATCCATCTAAAACATTACATACAAGTTTTAATAAGATTTTATTTAAATATCAAATAATAAAAATAGGGGTGACTGTGACTCTATTAAAAAAAACTGAAAATTTACTATATTTCTATATATATATAAATGATATAATTCAAAATTATTATTAATGCAACACACATATATACATAAACATAATTTTCAAACAATTTCATTAACCCTTCGCAACTGTGAGGTTAAGCAGTTCTTTCTTCCCCAATATGTGTAATTTTGGCAATCATAAATTTGTAATACAACCCGTGTTTGCTTGTGCCCATTGCGGTGCATAATTGGAATACGAGTTGAACTTGTTGATTATTACCAAAAGGTTGAAGAAGCAAACATAAAAAATTTTTACTTGCATTTTACTACATCATTTCACAATATTTCTCATTTTTGGTTTTTCAACATTTAAAAAAATAACTGCTTTGTTTAGCTTGCTTTTTCAGCAGGGAGAGGTTTAAATTCTGCAAATATTTTAGTACATATTTATCTTTGCTAACAACTGAAAGGTCGCTATGATCAGCAAGACAGTTTGATGTAAATAATGGCTTTTCACTTAACCCTTCAAGTATTATATTAGAGCTTGAAGTACATGAAATATGCATATAAACAAAAAACTGCTAGTGGGGGGGGGAATAATGAAAATGTAAAGAATTTTGCTAAGATACACAACTATTCAAAAAATTTATCTCTAAAATCTTTCCCAATAGGATATTGAGAAGGATTTTCTGACCCAAAGATTTCACAAGTATTTTTGTTTAATGAAGATAGATAATTTTCACAGTCTGCATAGCATCTAGGCTATCAATTTTAAAGGATGTTCTACATGCTGTCAGAATATGACCCATAATTAAATGCACTTTTAACACACTGAGTCCATTGAGCAAATTAAGATAGATTTCATTAAATTGTCATTTCTCTTTCTATCTTGTTTTAGCTTAAATACTGCAGCCCAAAAGTTTACAATATCAGTTTATTCTGTTTTGGTATAAGGGAAGTGATTATCTGTTTGATAGATTCTGACTTCCTGGTCTAACAGAAACTTTTCAAATTCTGAAATGACATTTGCCTAAACTATCTGCTAATTTCATTAAAGCAATGACGGGGTTGTTTTCACCATGCAAATCAGGATTCATGCAACAGTTTCTTTTTTTTTTTTTTTTCCCTGCCATATTATCAAGCACATTCTATATATGCCTCTTTTAGGATACATTTAAATTCCTTTCCTTATGGATTAACCTTTTCCAAACTCCTAATAACTTTTGCAGCTTCTACGCCAATAAAAATTAACATTTTGAGGCCAGGGCTTTGGCAGCTGTAAAAGCCTTCACAATATGGGATACCTTGAACCAAATGTTTCCCACTTAAATAAATCACCTCCTATTTGCAACAAAGATCCTAGTGTATAGTTTAATGGATTTGCAGAAGTGTGCATTTATGTCAAAAAATGAAGGGAACAGTAGCAATCAGTGACTAGACTTCAAGATGCTTTTTGGCATTAAGGAAATATTTCATACTGTAGTTACTCTGAAATGAGACTACTTAGGGTTACGCAAAAGGACATGTGCAAACTTCTGTTGCAGAGAGTGTCATTCTTTATATTATAATACATTACTTTCCTTTATACAAAAATTTTGTTCAAATTTTAAATTACAAGTCTTTAGGAAGTGCTTACAATAATTAGTTCTATCATACGTTTGTATTAATGTTATGTTACAAAATTTTTCCAACTATTTGATTATTTTATAGATAATTTTACATTTATCTAGACTTCAACTCAGTCTTTTCTTTCACTGTTAAATTTCCTTATAATTTTTCATTTGTTTTGGTATATATTATCAAATATAGCTACATCTTTGAGCTTTTTTCATACAAGAAATGATTAAAAAATAAATGTTTAATGTTATAGAAATGATTAAAAATTAAAGTTCAATGGAACTGTTAAAATTATGCTCTGCAGGCATATTGAAATTCCAATTCAACATAACTGATATAAATGTGCTGGATAACGTACTTTTTAAAAGAGGAAATTGTCAGCATATGCCTGGTTTAATTAAAAAATTATTTTACTGTAGATTGCTAGTACTGCAATGTACAATTATGTAAGAGTGTTCCTAATTTACATTCAGTTCTTTTCCTAAATAACTGCAGAACAAAACAGAAGCTACAAAATTGTTTTCTAGAATGATGTATTTTAGTTTTAAAAATTAGAAGAAAAAAAGGATTATTTAATCAAGTACCATTTTATACTCTTTACTGAAAATTAGTAAGTAATATATTTCAGGTATTAACAATAGAATGAATTTAAGTCATTACAAATGTAAACTTATTTAGTATGCAAACCCAAAATCCAAAACACCACAATTACACGTCAATTACCTTTGTCTTTCTATACTAAATTCCCAGCCTCACTAAGGGAATTCGATCACTCTGTTATCAAAATTAAGGTAATTTCTTAGTGCAAAGAGCTTTACAAATTTAATGGAAAATTGTTTATGTATGTTTCTGGAAGATTGTGGGGGAAGAAAGTTGCATGATAGTTGGCTGCTGTCTTCAATACTGCATATTATTATTATTATTATTATTTTTTTTCATTTTATTATGCTACATAATTTAGCACTTTAGGAGAAATTTCCTGATATTTTCAGGTGCACAGTTAGTGAAAATCTCTCCTCTTTGAAATCGTGAATTTTTCTATTTCCTTTATTGTTCTAAAGCAGCTCGTTTCACCTCCTGATAGTCTTTGTAGTAGCTTTGAGATCAACAATGCCAGCACACTCTAAATTGTGCAATTTAAATTCTATGATATATTAGCGAGTATCTTTATGAGCAATTACTCCAAAAAACTCAGGTCAATTGAGTCCTATACTGACACAGTTAAATTTGCTGTTTTTCCCTTTTCTGTCAAAAATTTGGCACACATTCATTGGTTTCATTAGCATCTCTATCATTATGCCCCATTATCAAAACTATTTTATAACTGAGTGGCCAAGGTATGCCCCATGGATCTGTTCTTGAGCATAGTTGCTGAGATATGTGTTCAATGAATGGCAAATGCATTCAATCAGTTAAAAAAAGGTCGAGGTTCAGAAATTCAGATGGGGAATTTCTTAGAACAACGATTTCTTAGAACAATGATTTGTATATTATGCGAGAGATTTTCCCTCCCGTTTCTATTCTGGAGCTCAACAGACAGCAATATTTCACAAATACTATTGCAATCTATTTGGTGCGTCTTACTTTAAAATTACCTGACTGCGAATCAAGACAATGATATGGAGGAAGCTTTTAAAATGTGCCATCAGTACATCTGGAATCTCAAACTAATGAGCACCAGGGAGAAACACAATGAAGAAATTCGTCTCTTCTACAAAGGCAAGAGCTTTCAAGTTGATTGACTAGTTTTAGTCTACTTATGATTTTGAAGTTTCACACTAAAATTGTTAGGCTATTTTTGTTTCTTTGACACAAAATTTATGTTCTTCTAACTTTTCTGAACAACACCATCACAGTAAACTTCTGTGAAGGTAACTTCAATATGAACAGATATGAAAATACAGACAGGCAGAACTGTTAAGAATGAACTTGTAAGAAAAAACTGCTTGTACCAGTGTACAAGTATGTGAGAATTTATACAGTACAAAATCTATAATACGGAATGATCTATAATCCGGACCTCAAAGCTACAAACTTTATGCGCATGCGCATATGTGTTTACACATGCACATTTAATGTATAACAGACGGTATAAGGTAGGCTAAAATTATCTAAGGCATTTCAGTTAATGTTGCAGACTGTGCTGCTCCTTAATCTTCTAATTGTATCCGATTTATTATTTTTTGCAGACTGTTAGAACAATTTTATAAAAATTAAGCTTGAACTTTTGATTATATCACAAAGAGTTTCCAATTCTGGAGCTGCCAAAGGCTCTACAAAGCGAAAGCATGTTTCAATGTCCATTAAACAAAAAATGGATAAAGGCCTATCCATCTCAAAATTATGCAAGAAGTATGGCATTGGAAAGTCCACTATACATGACACAAGAAAAAGGAACTTTTTGAATTTTCGTGGAAGCATCTTAAACAACTTTCATTGAAAGAAATGTTTAATAAAGTAAACAAATAAATATTAAGCCTTTTTTTTTTTTTTTTTTTTTTAAATTTTGATACCCTTTAGATCATAATTGTTCTTATTTCATAAATTACGATTTCATATTTTTAATTGTATAATTTCCGCATGCCATCTTAACAGATTTAAATTGATGATCTATAATCCGGAAAAACCCCTAATCCAGAATCGCCGAAGTCCCAACAAGTCCAGATTATGGACTTTGTACTCGATTTGTTTGTAAACTTATATCTAGATATCTATGTAGTATATATGTCTGCATTTACATAAGATGGTATGAGATGCAAGTACAAATATATACATAAAAGGGAGAGCATGCATATCCTTAAATGAAAAATATATATATGTAATAGATTCAATGACCAGGAAATTGGGGGCGAATGCAGATTAAATCTTCAGTTTTATTTTCAGCAACATGTTACTGCTACACACAAGTCGGCATATTAAATGTGACTGTTCTAAAAGTCTTACATTTTTGATAACTTTGTAGCAAGAAAGCAGCAGCAGACAAACAGCAGTGTAGCTAGGCCAAAACGTGGAAAGCAAGTGTGTAATGTTCAGGATGAAATCTCAAGTCAAACTGAGTTAGTTTTGGTTCTCAAAGCATTCTGATTGGGCAGTTAATATTGCTCTAAAATTACTATTGGTGGGTTAGTTCCACTTACATCATCAGAATTATGTAAGAGTCATATGACATAGACTTTTCTCAAAATGATGCAGTACAGAGAGAGATTACTATTTTTAGAATTGAGAAGTGAAATTTACATTGCTAATTTAATCTTTTATTTATTCTTCATTTTTCTTACACACACACACACACACACACACACACACACACATATATATATAGACAC